AAAAAAGAAGATCTGCGTACTCTAGAAGGGGAAACTGACAAAGATGAGGACAGTACTTGCGTATCGGCCGAGGACGATACGCCAATCAGAGACCAACAGCCGACGCACGTTTGTATCGACTGCGATGATGAACCAATGGAAGAGGATGCAGCTTCTGATGAATTTTCATCCGCAGTAGCTGCGGCTCGTGGTTGCGGGGACACTGAGTCAGTCATACAATTAAACAGCAATGAGACGTGGTTGGATTTGGAAAGTTTGCGGCGCGTTAAAAAGAAGTTATTTGCTTTGAATAATACGAGCATACGTGATGCGTTGAATATCAACATAATCTTGCTGGCCGAGAGCATACGCTATGGGCGTGAGACCGCCTGTGAAAAGGTGATACATTGTCTGGTCATTTGTTTCGACATGGTTACAAATAGTAAGTGGCAATTATTTTTCTTCTAATTCTAGTTTCTAGTTGCATGACTCTGTTCCGTCCATTATTTTCTTTATTCAATATTATAATATTTGCGTCTTGTAGCATTCAACAGTTTTGAGGACTTGGAGTATTTGGAACGTTCGCTACCCAAGCTTTGTCATGCTTGTCGCATGCTATCAGTAGCGGGACAAGCGCGTTTAGCCCGCATCTGGGCCGCGCATTGTAAAGATCAAATGCAATCGCTGGTACAGTCTTGTCAACAGTTGATCACATTACAAGTAATACAAGACGAGGACACAGTACAGGAGAATTCTGATGTATTTGCGGTGACACGCGTACTCAAGGTTTGCTTTAAAGTTAGAACAATTATTATTGTTATAATATACCTCATCCCCCGTTGCAGATTGTTTTCTACGCAAACATCTTAGCTGGAGAATTGGACACCAGCTCCATCAATGCTCACAGCCAATCGGGTAATGCAGCCGATGCTGATGCTTCTTCAAACACGGATACCACCAACGATGATGATGATATATTTTTCTATACTCAAGTACCTAAACCGCATTATCCGAAATTCGCGGAAGACAAACTAGAGAAAGAGTTGGGTTTATCGAGCATGGACTGTCGTGTGCCGTTGGTGCCATTTGAAGAGTTCTACAATGAGCCGCTGAGCGATGCAATACAAATGGATCGCGATTACTTATCTTATAGAAATTTGTCGCTGAATCCCAGTGGTGAGGGTGTATATACTTTAATCTTTTATTTAAATATATTAATTCTTTTGTTTAGATTTGCATTTCTCCTTCATGCTGTATTCATTCATATTAACACCCGCGACCAAGGTCATTGCACTCTACTACGATAGTCGCATACGCATGTACAGTGAACGAAATTCCTCGTTGTATTCACTACTGAATTCATTTTCCGATGGAAATGAGGTTGGTGCAAGGCCTGATTTAAAGCTGAAAGTGCGACGTGAAAATATAATCGATGATGCGCTCATTGGGGTATTATAAATATTTTGGACACATTTTAAATATAAAAAATAATAATGATTGTTTTTAGCTTGAACTGGTTGCTATGAGTAATCCAAAAGACTTAAAAAAGCAGTTAGTGGTTGAGTTCGTTGGCGAACAAGGTATTGACGAGGGTGGTGTATCCAAAGAATTTTTCCAGCTGATTGTCGAAGAGATTTTCAATCCGGACTATGGCATGTTTGTGCATCAGGAAGATACCAATACTGTATGGTGAGTATATAATAATCAAAAGATGTGTGTAATTGAATATTTTGTCAAATTTAGATAGTAAAGTTGAATATTTTTCGCTTTTACCTACTGAAAGAAATTACTGGTTTGACTTAAATTTCCAGGTTCAACTCCGCGCCATTCGAAAATGAGGCTCAGTTTACGCTGATCGGCATTATTTTAGGTTTAGCTATTTACAATAACATCATTCTGGCTGTGAATTTCCCTATGGTCGTCTATCGCAAATTAATGGGTGGTGTTGGTACATTTTATGATCTAAAATATTGGAATCCGACATTGTATCGAAGTTTGAAATCGATGCTGGACTATCAGGACGCCGATATGGAAGAAGTATTCATGCAAACATTTAAAATTAGCTACAATGATGTTTTCGGCGATGTAGTCGAACATGAATTGAAACCCGGTGGCGGTGATATAGTTGTTGGCCAACATAATAAACAAGAATTCGTTGATATGTATAGCGAATATTTGCTCAATAAAAGCATTGAACGACAATTTAAGGCTTTCAAAAAAGGTTTCGAAATGGTAACAGATGAGTCGCCATTAAAATTACTTTTTCGTCCTGAGGAAATTGAGCTGCTGGTCTGCGGTAGTAGAGTAAGTTGATCTTTAAGTATGTAATATTAAAAAGTATGTAATGATTTCTCAAAACTCTTTAGAAATTTGACTTTGTTGAACTGGAAAAATCCACCGAATATGAGGGTGGTTACACTAAGGACTCGCAAACAATCAAAGACTTTTGGAGCGTTGTACACTCCATGCCAGAGGAGTCAAAACGTAAATTGCTCGAATTCACCACTGGTTCGGATCGCGTGCCTGTTGGCGGATTAAGTCGCCTCAAGCTGCTTATCACACGGCACGGTCCCGACAGCGATCGTTTGCCCACCTCGCACACGTGCTTTAATGTGTTATTGCTGCCAGAGTACAGCAGTCGAGACAAGTTGGAGGAACGTCTGCTAAAAGCGATTAATTACTCAAAAGGTTTTGGCATGTTGTAAGAAGCTGTTTTGTCATTCAAATTTCCATATCTATGAGCATTGAAAGGTAGCAAATGGAGAAATACATAGCCGAAAAGAGAGCGAAATATATGCGCAACGCAATCGCAACGAGTGCTGGTCTTAATAAAATTTTCTTTTTTACATTCTCGTTAATTTGTTTGATATTTCTTTTTGAGCATATGTTTAACAATCAACTGATTTATGATGCCAACAACAGCTGCAGAAGACTTGTCTTTATTTTAAGTATATTTTTTAAGAACATACAACAAACATACGAATACATGCATACATGTATACAAAAAATGCATGTCTTTGGATAAAGCAAGCAGAGAAATACTGCTAACAAATCCTGAAGCTTCCTAACTAATATGTATAAGCGCTGATACAAAGAAGCGCTGAACATTTATTATATTTATGAGTTTTTGGCAATTTTTAAGCTTACACTTTCCTTTCGCGTTCAGTTATACACATAAGCAATCACATTTATTTTTCGTAATTTACATTGAATACACCAGACAGGATATACAAGTATAATTTAAAATACATATAACAAAAACAAATTCGAGTGCCACCAATACCAATGCACTTACTACTATGAAAAATCGTAACAACAACAAGAACAACAACGTTTAATTTCGTTTGTATATTTACGTATAAAAGAAAGTCATTTTTTAAATCGACTGCTTTTGAACTTTATTTGTAATTGCTCGTTTTCTAGAAAACTTATGAAAAATGGTATGCAAATAAAAATAATTGCTATTAATGCATATACAACACAAAAATGAGCAGTATTTGTTATTTGTTTGGTAGAGTGGGTAAGAACACGTCCTTCAATAAATAAGCATTTAGAAAATCTAATTTTGAGTTTTGATAAAAAAAAAACAATTTTTTCACTGTGTACTTTGAGCTCCGTCATCTGGCATCACCGCACAAACAGCTGATAGCCCCTCCTGTGTTGCCAGCTTCATGAAATCACCCCATGCCAAAAAAATCTTGTTTATTCTTATCGCCGGGAGCAGTTTCTGTTGGAGCAAGTTTAGTTGGCGCTTCCTCTTGGCGTTTTGTACTCATTCGCATACTTGCTTTCGTTGGGAATTGTTGTCGCCGTTTGTGTTTGTGGTTAACTTGTGTATCTCTCGATCGTCTCTTAAGGGGAGCTTGTGGCATCTCGGTCAGCAGACGTATAGACTTGCCCGAGAGTGTTGGTCGCGTGCACTGCCGGCTAAACAAACAAATTAAATACGCATAGTGTCTAAAGAGTTTTATCAAATGCGAATGTGTTTCTCAGTGTTAGATTTTAAGTGAAAAAGCAAAATTTAAATAACTTAAAAAATAAAAGAAGAAAATATGCAGATATTAGATAAACCAAAATTAAGCTACACGCTATTGCTGCTACTCGGCCTATGGTCCTGTTGCGCTTGGACGCCAACGCATGCAGCCACTACAGATACCAACAATGATGCCGCAGTCGAGGAAGAAGGTAAGTAGCTGGAATATTTCTATGCGCTATTCTTAATAAATTATTTCTTGTTTCATATTAGTGCGCTTATACAGAGCAGCGAATACAAATGAGATCACTTTGCCATTTATATTTACATTCTTGTGCATGCCCATTTTTCCCATTTTGGTTCATGCATTTTTCCATTTATTTAATTGCTTTTGAACTGCGGTATATGTGCACTCTCTCTTACAGAACAATCAGCCGTTGATTGCTACTATCGTACCATTTCATGACCGCAACAAAAACAATGCTTCCTGTTTATTATGCACTCTTTAGCGCTTGGATAACTATATATGTACATATCGCTCATGTGCAATATGAATTCAGTTAATTATTATTATTTGCTTTTGCTTATGTACGTTTTTGTTTATCTTTTCACTAGTTTACCTATATGCTTTTTGTTTATCTCAACGTCTTCAACGCTTGTCCAATGTCGATGAGTCTGTGGTTACATCTGCGGTTACATGCATTGGTGATCTCTTTTTTTCAGTAAATTTTCTTTTTTTTCAACTGCTTTTATATGTACAACTCATAGATATGAGGAAGTTATGCCGTCAAATTTTTCACGCTATTATTCCAACTTCAGACTACCCCACTTATTTGCGAGGGGTGGCCTGGGCGCCAAACCGAGGGGAGGAGGGAGTGGCGTTTGATTTTTTATTGCATACAATTTTCGAATGTGAATTTTCTTCTCTGTCTTCTCTCGCAACTCTTGAAAACAACATAAATATCAGTTATTTACAAATCAAAGTAGATCAAACCGGGGTCCACAAACTAAATCCGCGAGCACCCTTTGTACCATGGGAAGGATATTCCTTGAATTTGGCGGAGGGCGTACTACTTCTTCATCCAGAACATGCATGTTGTTGTTGTTGTAACATCATACAAATTCCTCAAAGAAATTTTGGGGAGTGTTGCTGAAGTGACCGTCCTCGGCCAGATATAAATCTGGGTCGTTCCGGTTACGTAGATCACGCTTTTTGGTGTACTTCAGCGCATCTACCTATATTCTATTCTGAGGATCTAACCAGAGATGGACCATTTTCAAAAATTATGTCGAAAATCTCACCGTCAAACATTTAAGGCCATTAAATATCTGGCAAAAGAAATTTAGGAAGCCCCCCAGAAGATAATTTATGTAGGCCTTCCTAAGTAAAGCCATTCTAAAAGGCCTACCCGAGAAGGACTAAAAATTACTTTCTTGCATGTCTTCTAGAAGGGCTTATCCATTTACAATTTACACGAACGCATAAATTTATATTATTTAGCATTAAAAGTGAATTTCAATAAACATTTTAAGTTGCAATAAAACATATTTGATATAAACGTTAAGCAAATACTTTAAAGATGTATGGTATTTATAAATTAAAGAAGCAGCTTTAAAAGAACTCCTCCAAAAGGCCTACTGAAATATGTCCTATAAAAGCCGTTCTGGAAGGCCTTCCATCGGTAGCGAAACAAAAAGCCCTTCAATTTTCCACTCCATACAAAAAAGAAAGGAGAAAGGAATGTAGAGTGGAAGGCCTCTTGACTCTCAGGAAGGCCTTTCGGAAGGGCTTTTAACTCATGAAATTATCTACTGTGTCGGAATGGAGATTTTCACTATAATTTGAAATATCCAGCTGTCCACCATGAAGCTAAATGCTTGGCTGACAAAATGTTACGATTTGAATTTTTAATCTCCCTGGTTGTTTAGTATGACATCCCATTCCAGGCCAATCTCATGAGTAAAAAAAATGCAGAGTACAACCATGGACATCGCTGCAGCCACTGAGTCAATAGGAAATTGCACTGAATTTCTATCCACCTAGAGAAATAAGGGCTATGAATTTGGTCAAGATGCTCATCTCGATCACGAACGCCCTATTAAACCTGCAGTGATTAAATGGCCATTGGAGGTTCTTGAATTTCGTCAAGAAAATTGTCTTGGATGTATTTCCTAATGTTTGGGTTTATCTCAGGATTTCGTTGACTGTTGTCGGCGGGGAGCGAAGTTTTTCGAAATCGTATCTTCTCAAAACGTACCTAGAATATACTATGTCTCAAGAAAGATTAAACGCTTTAGCTATCTTATCTATTGAAAACGAGATTGCTACTCAAAATGACTTGCCCAAAACCATCGAAAAATTTGCTCAAGCCAAAGGCAAGGTAAACTTCTGTAATTAATATCTGAAAATTTTGCTTATAGTAAAAATTGGAAATTCTTTTATTTCGACTATTTCTGCAATTGATTATCGTATAAGAAAAAGAAACCGAGGTAATACATATTATTATGTAATGGCGTTTCGTTCCATTTCGCCGCGGGCGTCATTGCTTCTAAAGCCGGCCCTGATTTTGCGTGTATGCATCAGTTGTTCTTTCCATGTTCTGCGGAAAGCGCTACAAAAGCAAATTTTGCCAATTTGAACTCATACGAGTAATGAATATGAGCACTACAATTTAATTGCTATCAATAAAGCGAATATTTCGTTAAAATTTTAATACACAGAGAGAAAAGCATTGAAGTAGGGATCTTTAGAAATGTGTATGCTGTTACAACCACAATAACTGAAAATATTATACAGAAAACAAAAGAGTACCAGCTACTTGTAAATATGAAGCTAACAGCTTTACTAACAATCGGTTCGATAGAATTCTTTGGCATAAGCACCTCCTTGAATGAAACATTTATATTAACTTTAGGCATCTAAGAGCTGTATTTCGACGCTACCAAAAAGTTCACGCATCAAAGAACAAAATTATTTGCCTTACTAGCTCATAATTAGCTGAACTTGTAAATTTTGAATACAGTAATTTAATTTTTAATTCCAGTTGATCAACTCAAGTCAACTAAGTCGCTGATAACCAGTTGCGACTATTTTTATTGCCGAATTAATAATAAAGTGCGATAATTTATGGCAAGTTGATGTGTTAAGTTTTTTTTAAACAAAAAAATTTCAAATGCACTTACTCATTTAGCCAATGTAGGAGTAGCTTAAAAAAATGGTCCTCTGTGCTTTGCAATGCGTTGTAGTCTAATAAACTATTTGCTATACTCAAACATACATACACACATACATGACATGCCTCCATGCATTATTAAGCATTACTAAGAATACAGCATACATACATAACATACTTCATGCACTTTTATTTTTATTTTCAGCGAAACGCATCAAAGTCTTCACTGTAGCTACAGAACGTACAGATGGATATTTGCGTTACTTGCGCTCAGCGAAGCGCATTTATGACATAGAGGTTGGTTATAAAAATTGTTTAATTAGAAATATTAGTAAATAGATATTAAAGAAAAAAAATTAAATTAATTCTTAAAAACCCAAACAATGGGACAAATAAAATAAAACGAAACTGGTAGATAGATACGCGTACTAGGTTCCTCGAAACCTGTTTAAAAAATGTAAAAAACAACAAAATCCAAACAAAACCTGCTCACATTCATAGCTCGCATTAACTTCAACTAGTTTCTCATAAATATAACTTCCGAAATTTATTGCTACAATACTTTATTTGACAACGAACATCAGTAACCATAGTTAATCTCAGCTCTATTATCTAAGCATCGGCTAATTAAAAAGCGCAAAAAACGACTAGATAATAACTCTAGCTGTTAAAAGCAAATTTGTATTGTACAGCTTTAATGGCTATAACGAGTTTCCTTAGCATTAAAAAAACGATTATCGCAAAATGCACTGAATTTGTTTGCAAACAAAAAATGTAATTAAAAATTTAAATGAAGATATTAGCAAATTACCATATCACCAGAAATTGGGGGTGCATTAATTGACTTTAGATACACACCAGAGGGGGTGGGAAGGAAGCACACTAAGTACTTAAAGACGTACACTTTAGATTGGCGAAGTATTTTTTATGTGATTACGGTGAGAAAATACATATATTTTCAAGCAATTAATTAAGCTTTTTTCATCTGCAAATTGTGTTTGCGTAGCATAGTTGGTATTTTGATTTTTATCACTAAATGCCGGACATGAAAAGAGAATTGTTTTAGCTATTAAGAAAGTGGAACGGAAAATGTACAAAACTTAATAGAATAATGAGTAGCTAAGATGCATACATAGATTAACTAGAATTTATTTATTCTCGAGGTTTACGAGAATAACTACTTGTTAAAAATGTTTAACCATACTTTTTCACTCTCCTTCTGCTAGAAGGTATGCTGCA